AGCTACAGGGCTGTTCCTGTAATTAGATGACTTAGAAGGTAGATGCTCTGAGCCGCGAGGCAGTGAGGAGCGGGAGTGGCTCCCACAATCTCCTCTGACCAGGCACTGTGGCCCCCGGCCTCCCTGGCCACTCTGCGCTCCCAGGAACCCTGCGTTCCGGGAGGCTTGGGTCTGGGCGATGTCTGGGACCTTCTCTGTCTCACAGTCAGGTCCCCGCCACCTTCCCGCCTGTGAACGTACACTGGGCAAGGATCTGAAGGCTCTTCTGAGGCCGGGGACAGCTGTCGCTTGTGGCTGCTGCTGGCGGACTCCTTCTTGGCTTCCCATTCAGCACCGTCTTGAACCAGCACCAGTTGCCTAACTTCCTGGGTCGGGCGCCTCCCCCAAGGGGCCTGAGCTCTCATTTCGGGCTCCTTGGGAGGCGCCACTCCTGGGCTTCTCGGGGCTGCCAGTGTTCTTACCCCCTTCTCTTCCCTGACCTGGACAGTTCGAGCGGATGCCCACGGCTGGGTCCGTGCATTCCTGCAGCTGCTCGACCCCCCACGATCACGCGCACCTGCTGGGAGGGACCCGAGGACAGAAACCAGCAGCGACTAGACTGACCCTCGCACTAACCAGCCCCACGGCTGCTTCGTTCTCACCGCCGGAAGGGAATGGGAGGCTCAAACAGGCGGGGCTCATTGCCCCGCATCGCAGAGCACCGGCCTGGACGGCACCTCACTCAGACGTGCCAAAAGCCCGGCCGGAAGTGGCCGGACGCGACCGGTTCCGATCCTTGGCAGTGCCCTGTGTTCACGCGCGCACTCACGCCCAGCACGCTGCTGGGCACCTGCACGCCCGGCCGCCTGCAGTGGGGCTCGGCTGTGGGGTCCTTCAGGATCTCCACCACGGGGCCCGCGGGTAGTATCGGCTGCAGGAGGGGTGAAGTCTGAACCGTGAAGGCCACAGGTAGGCCTTGTGACCTTGAACGGCTTGTGACCTTGAACGGCTCACGCGGGGTGTTCGCCGCCGAGCTTGCTGCGGCGTTGGTGCCCATGGACGCGTCCTGGAGATTTCCAGCAACCCCGGGAGGCCGTGTAGGCCTCCCCTCTGGAACGGGGCGTCACCCTAAGGAGTGTGAGGCAGCCCCCGCCCCCCACCCTGTGCAGACCCAGGTCTTCTGCTTCCAGTTCCACTCTCCCCGCTCGCCACCCCCACTTCCCTTTTTTATTATTTCACAAGAAGCTTCTCACGTTACTCAAGACTCCTCAGAGTCAGCTGGTCCCCAAGCAGCATCCCACACGTTCAGAATCGCTCTCCCTGTTCAGTTAGTTGCAGAAATGAAGTGGAACAGGACGCCTGGCCGGCCAGGTCAGGAGAGCGGGCGGCTCTTGATGTCAGGGCCATGGAGTGCCAGCCCCATGCTGGGTGTAGAGAGGACTTAAAAAATAAATAAGCGAACTTAAAAAAAAAAATGCAGTGGACTAAAGATGACCGGCCAGTGTTCCACTAGTTGGTCTGTGGCTGGTACTTCCTAGCGTGTTTGGGAGGCTGGCGGGCAGTAGTGAGCTCCCCGTCCCAGTGCATCGCCCTTGCACGTTCCCACTCTGCTAGCTCATGAGGGCGCAGTGAGACCCAGCAAAGCCAGCGCCCGAACTCGTGTGCACGCCATGGCTTTGCCTGTAGATCTACCAGATGCCCCTCATCCTCAGGTGCCTTTGAAGGTCCTGTCCATGACGAAGGTTCTGATCAACGCTCCCACGTCACTTCTCCCCTTGTACGTCTTGTCATTCTCTTTGTGCCAGAGTGTACGTTGTGATTTAATGCGAGAATCTGCCTACAGAAAATGGTACATGTAAAATAAATTCTCCTGCTATTAACCCGAGAGGCGGACCGCTCGAACGGCTTCTGCGTGCATTCAGAAGTCTGACCTGGACTTTTGTGACGTCCATCTACCCTAGGTCTGGTAGTCTTGAGTTTTCTGAATATGGATTAAATCTTTCAGGAACAACGCTCCCAAGTGCAGCCTCAAGTTTTGCTTTGGAGTTTGAGGAAGTTTGGATCAGGACAGACCAGCTTGGAAGAAGCATTACCTTTCTGCAAGAGGGTCAGGGTAGGGCGCACAACTGTCAATGGATTTCAGCCTCAAACGCCCTTTGTCCAAAAATAGTTCCACTTTTGTCCACAAACCCCCAAATATTTACACACCCCACAGGATTCTGATTTAGGTTAGATTCTTAGAGATTGGTTTTCTGGAAGGAGGGAACATCACTCTGGGGAGAAGGGGAGGGACGCTGGCTGGAGGAAGTAGGGGTGGGGGGCAGGAGATGTGCTGCCCAGGGGAGAACATGGTTGGTGACGTGAGGTTCTTTACGCTCGGATGGAAGAAAACCCTGAAAGTCCAAGTTGTTGGCTTTAAAAGAAGTGAAGTCTTCTTGCCGCTGTTTCATTTTTCTCCCCTTCCCCTGTTTAGCCCCTCCCCGACCCCCTCCCCTCGGTGACCGTCAGTGTGTTCTCTGGAGTTAAGTGTTTCTTAGTTTGTTCAGCTGTTTTGTTTCTACACGTGTGACTGAAACCAGACGGCATTGGTTTTCTCTGAGTTACTTCACTTACCATCTTCTCCAAATCATCCGTGTTGTTGCAAATGGCAAGATTTCGCTCTTCTTGGTGGCCAGGTAATGTTGCATCGTATGTAGACCACATCTTCTTCATCCATTCTGCGGAACATGGGCAAAAGAGTTAATTTCTTTTAAAGCCAACAACTTGGACTTTCGGGGTTTTCTTCTTTTATTTTTGGGTGTGAGAAAGCGGTGTGAGAAAGTTGTCCGTCCGTTCTTCCGCACGGAGCTGTCCCGCATTCCCATCACCGTTTATTGAAGAGGCTTTTCCCATTACATATTCTTGCTTCCGTTGTCAGAATTAATTGATCGTATAATCATGGTTTTATTTCTGGGCCTTTCTGTTCCATTCCATTGACCTGTGTGTCTGTCTTTGTGCCAGTAACATACTAGTTTGATTACTACTGTACTGTACAGGGATATGTCTCAAAATCTGGGATTGTGATGCATCCAGTTTTGTTTTCTAAGATCACTCTGGCTATTCTGAGTCTTTTGTGGTTCCGTACAAATTTCGGGATTGCTCGTTCTAGTTTTGCGTAAAGGCGATTGGTATTTTGGTAGGGATCGCACTAAATCTGTAGATTGCTCTGGGCGGTATAGACATTTAACAATATCTGTTATTGTCGGTGTTTAGATTTGTATAGCCCATTCTTATTTCTACAACAGGGAGGGAGATCCACAGATATCGAGTGTATTGTTAGTGTGTGTATTCTACACATCTTGCAAGTTCTCAATATCTAGTTAAAACCCTACGAGGAATCAAAAAGTAGCCAAACTTCAGAGGGACGGCTGCTCCCTGCTTCCAGACCCGTGTCTCCTGGGAGAACACACCCACTCACACTGCCTGCCTACTCTGCAGACCCCAAGGGGACAAAAACAAGTTCTTTCCCTCTCTGTGCCTGTCAAGTGGAGTACTGTGTGCCTCACCTCCATCTTTCCCGCGAGGGTCTTGAGATGGTCGGTTTAAATGGTTCGGTAGACAGACGGTGGAACCACCTTGGAGGCTGGAGTGACCTGCGGAGGTAGACTTGCATCCTTAAAAGCGTACATTCTTAAACATGAGGGGTTTCTTCACTCTCATGCATGAACCGTGCGGAATTTACCGGTTCTCCTCAGCGGGTGACGTCTCATTGCCACCATAGCTGCCTTTGATTTACTGGAACTCGTCATTGCCATTTCACCTGATCCTTCTCTTCCCCGGCTCTCACGGAATGTGCCATCGCCTGGCCCAGTTTCCGTTTACAGTGTGAGGCGGGAAGGCTGTTCTCTCCACGGGCATTGGCTGTTGAGGGTCTCCACCCGTAGCTGCTCAGGGACTCACACAGCCTGGGAGGGGACACTCGAAAATGTCATCTCTTCCTTTCTCGTCCATCCCACCGTTGGTTGGGATCCTCGTGGAGAAGGGCAAAGGCATCCTTCGTGGTCACTCAGAGGCACCCAGGACTATGGGAGACTTTGGAAAATTCAGATCTTAAGCAAGTTCCCTTTCCCCTCTTGGGGAGTGAGACTTTCCTTTTATCCAGGCATATGTACCATTTTAGAAATCCTTCCCATCTGTACCCTTCAAAGACAGCTGCTTCACGTTCAGCAGGGACATGGTTTTCACACGTTGTTTACAAAGAGTTCCTCGTTGACAATGGCACTTTATACCTGTCCTTAAACACCAGCATCTGCTCCCCGGGGATGGTCAACAGTGATGGGGCGAGTGGTCCTGGCGGTCATTGCAGGGCCAAGGATGAGGGTGGGTAAGCAATTGGTATACAATGAGTTTGGGTAAATTCTCTACTTTTGTGCCTTGTGGGGTGAAAAAAATCATGAATATGCTGCTAAAGTTTATGTTAGAAAAAAATCAGATGAAGAACAGATTTTTTTTTTAAGCCAACTTCATCTTCTTTGCAGATTGTGCACATTGTTGGGATACTTACTTTTCTGATGAGCCATCCTCAGTCTGACCCTGCAGTGTCTGTGCCCCTATGATCCCATAACAGTGGGCCCAGACGGGCCGTTCGTTTTCACAGTGTCACCCTGTCTGCTCTCAGCGCGGCTCAGCGCACCTGGGGAGGAGATGGGACCCGCTCCGGCGCTATGCTGCGGGGCGGACGCCGCCCGCGAGAGGTCTGGACGCGGGTTCCTTGTTCAGGATGAGGAAACACACTGAGGGTCTTTGTTACTGAACAGGGCGTGGGGATTGGCTGGGGTCCCACGTCCTCGCGGTTTGGTCGGCATCAGAAGCGGGGCTGTGACGTGCTAATACGGCTTCCGGTGTGTCTCACGTCCGGGGGTTTTCGTTTTCTCGTCTCAGAAACGGGCAAGGCGTATCTCACAGGACTGTCGCTCTGACTGAAACTGCAGGAACTCCGAGGGTACTAGCTTTAAAGCCCACGCCTTGTGTTTTTCTCGTAGCTTCTGACGAGCTCATCGACGCAGGATGGGAAACCACGCGGGAAAGCGGGAGTTGAGCGCGGAGAAGGGCAACAAGGTAAGAAGTGGGCCGTTTTGTCACTGAGCACGACCCCCCAATACCGACTTCAGCTGCAGGGCTCCTTTGGAAACCGGGGGGTATTACCCCCGCCTCAGAAACGTCTAGAGTGGCCCTGAGCACAGAGACCAAGACCCTCATGTCTCGGCCCGGACCCCAGCCCACGACAGTCTTACTGGGCTGGCCCTTCCAGTGCCCGCTGTCCGCTGTCCCTGTGCACTCGGTCGCCGCACCACGCTTGGAAGGTACCGATAAGCAAAAGGGAAAAATGCACATAAAAACGGTCCGAATCCCTCCAGGTCTTCAGAAGTTACCCTGTGTTTCCTGCACGGCGTCCACTCATCGTATCAGCCTCGGCTCCCCTTCCGAGGGCGGTTCTCTGTGCTGCCTTACACTCCCCTGGCATGTGTCCGAACCAAGGCTCAGCCTCTGGCTCCTGACCTCCCCGGGGCCTCCAGTCACCAGGCTCCTGGTGGCTTTATGCTCCATCTGAGACCTTCTCTACCATCGAGGGTCATTTTAGGTGATGACGAAACGGGGCTGACCCTGCGTGTGGAACGTTGAACCCTCCTGTCATGGGGGCGGGGACGGGAAATCTCTTCCCGGCTTTGGTACCTCATGTCAACGGAGCCTTATGTGTGTGACAGTCAGGATGCGTGGAGGCTCACGACCGTCCTGGAGCTGAGGGCGGGCCACCCCCTCTGCCACTTGCACACGGAAGTGCTTCCAGACGCCCTGGGGCGCCGTTGGGCAGCAGCAGCCCCTACAGCCCCTCTGCCACAGTTGCGGTAGGGTTTGGAATGCATGACTGTGACCTGAGCGGCAGGGGGTCCTTCTCTGCTCCTGCTTGGACTCCTTTCCTGCATCAGCCGGGGTGTCCTTCTCCAGACTTGTTTCAAGTCCCCCTGTTCTCACTCCTGTGCTGCCTTCATGAGCTACGGCGTTAGCTCGTGTCTCCACAGATGATTTCCAGCCCAAGAGGAACTGAAAGGGACTTCGCTGTGTGTAATGTCCTTATTGGTTTGGAATCCTCCCTTCACCGCTGATGGGGGGACTGACTTTATAAACACATTAATGATCTTAGTTCATACTGAATGGGGGGGGTGACTTGTGGATTCTTAAACCCCAAACTGGACGACTGATCACCTCGTTCTAACGGCAGTGGCGTTGAGCTATGAGTCGGGTCGGTCGGGGTCCGCACCCGGAGCCACGTCTCCGTCCACTGCAGGTGAGAGTGGACAGCCGTGCGGACTGGCCGCCTCTGAGCCCTGGGGGACCGCAGTCTCCTGACGATGGATTCGTGGCCCTAGTTCTAAAAACCACTCTGTGACTCGCGGTTCTCTCCTGTGTTTGACGTTGTGAGTCACTGAAACACGCTCTTAATTTGTGAGTTCTCCCAAAACAAGATGGCGGAGCCGCAGGGAGGCCCATACTTGCACTCTTGCTTCTGAAAGCTGATGTTTAACATTTGGATGATTGAGAAATTGGGGATTGGGGCGCCTGGGTGGCTCAGAGGGTTAAGCCTCTGCCTTCGGCTCAGGTCATGATCTCAGGGTCCTGGGATCGAGCCCCGCATTGGGCTCTCTGCTCGGCGGGGAGCCTGCTTCCTCCTCTCTCTCTGCCTGCCTCTCTGCCTACTTGTGATCTCTGTCTGTCAAATAAATAAATAAAATCTTTAAAAAAAAAATTGGGGATTTAAGAACACTGGTGTCTGCCAGTGATCGTTACATGGTAAAGCTCTGCAAGTTTTTTTGTTTTTTGTTTTTTGTTTTTGTCACCAGAGAGAAAGGTTTCACAGCTTTCCGAGTGAGCATCTGAGATGATCCGTGGCATTTAGACGGGCACCAGAATAGAATGAGACGACGTGGGCCGCTGCCCTGCTGTGGACCCCTCTGTGTGCTCCCACAGGGGGTTCCGTGCGGCCCACTTGGATGTGGGGGACAGTCGGAGCAGTGTCTGTGTCAGGGTGCCGGGCTGACCTGTGAATCGGAGTGTCTCTGTGGGGCCGTCTCACCTCCGCTCCCCTCGCCTGCCCCTGCCCTCCCCTCCCGCACCCCTGCCGAGGACCCGTCCGTGTTGGGGTGGGTGTGACTCCCTGTTCCAGCCGGGGCCTCTGTCCAGCGCCAGGGAAGGAGTCCCCTCCCAGCAGGACCTTCCAGGTCAGGTTTCTCCCGTGACTCAGCATCCCGCGGTCTTCCCACCGCCCTCTCCGTCCCCCTGAAGAGCACATGTCGGAATGCCAGAGGGAGGGGTGTGTTCCAGAAGGCAGAGACAGACGGCCGCCTTTCCAGCCTTGCACGTTAGTGGCCTGTGGAGCAGGACACAGGGCAGGGCGGCCAGGTGGCTGAGAGCCCCGTTCCCGTGGCCCTGGCTCGGAGCAGAGCATCTGGGGGTGAGCATGATGGAGAAAGACCACAGCCACGGGGGGAGCCACGGGACTGTTTCCGTGAATCGTTCCCAGTCTTCGGAAACGAAGAAAGCCCTATTTTGCCTTTGCTTCCCTGTGTTTTTAAGACTCTGGACGGTGCCGGCTCACTAACTTATCAGCACGTTGTCACTCGGTCCGTGTTCATGCTGGGGATCGGGCAGACCCAGGAAGGACACGCCCCGGCGGCTCCGGGGCCCCAGAGGATCCCCGTGCTCGCTGCCCGAGCCTCTGGGTCTGGCCGAGACTCGCCGCATGCTCAGCGGCCTCCCCCACAGAGGCTCCTGGAAGAAAACTGGGTCCATGGGCTAAAAATAGCCTCCTTGCCTTTGGGGAGGCTGTACCTGGCGGATGGCCCTGGGGAGCCTGGTAAGGAACCTGGCCAAGGGACAGAAGACATTTGTCTCGCTTGGCTACGGCGGGGATTCAGGACCTTTTGTCGGCTTGAATGGAAGGTGTTGGACCAACTGCCCCTCTGGAGAGACTGTCCATTTGCAGCAGGCCCTCCGCGTGGGGTCTGCGTGTGACCGGCCCTCAGTGTCGGGTCCGTGTACGGCAAGGACGCAGGAGAGAGACCATGTTACTTGGGCTGCCCTGGGCTTGGGGTTCACTCAGCGTGGGACTGCATTTCCCTGCTACTGTACCTGGCTCACAAGTTCCCCATATTTCTGGATGTTTCTATTTCATTGGCTTAAGGAAAACTATACCACACTGAAAACCAGAATCTGAGCGCCTGCAAAGTGTAGGTTCGTGCCTGAACCTTGCAGTGGGGAGTGACTTCTCCGTCTGGTTTCCAGTCAGACTGATTAGTTATCCCCGCGTTCCTTGGAGCCGAGCGCGCCCAGACGCGGGAAGTACGCACCGGCATGTTGCCTCTCCAGGGACAACCACGTCCCCCAGAAAGGCATCCATGTCTTTAATCATCGTTAAAATGCACTCACTTGACGAGACCCTCCAGACGGTACTCGAACGACACTCTGAGAAACGAGACGCTGGTTTGCAGATACACAGCACTTCCCATCCCGTGTGGACCGTCTTTGCTTTGGTGGGAGAATCCGTCTCTTCTGAAAGGACTGACAGCCCAGCTGTGCGGGGGCCGCCCTTGTCCGTCCACGGGGTAATTCTTCAAGGCCTTTCCTTGATGGAGTCCTACATCCTGCAACTCATCCCAGCTGTGGGACACTGCCGGGTCTTCTCCCCAATTTAGAAGCCTCATTTCTGGCCGCACCAGCCTCGGAGTGGGAAGTCATCCTGTTTGAAGCCATCATTGGGGGAGAGTCTCCATGCTGTCATCTCTCCGCCCCACACAGAAATTAGGTTCGCTGAAGGCCCAGCTCATGCGAGCTCTGCCAGCAGCTCTGTCCTCAGCGTCCCCTCCCCGCACAGCCCATGGGGGAGTGTGCCCAGGGGACCCTGCCCTCTGCCAGCACCGGGCTGGGTGACAGCCCACAAACCCCGGGCAGGGTGCTGTCCGTGCCATGGGGTGAAGGGCATGGTGGGACTGAGCCCAAGCCTTTCAGGCTTCCAAACGCTGTGGCGCTGTTTCCTCCCGATGCCACACGTCCTCCTACACTTCCGATGCAAAGTGACGCTGTCACCACAGCTGTTTCGCAGAATGGGAAGCGGGCTTACGAAGAAAGCCACTTCCTGCAGTCACCCTGACCCCAGCCCGCAGCATCGTGTGGCGGGGCTGTGGGGCCACCGGGTGCTGAATTCACCCGGAAATACTTACCTTTCTGACGGGCTTGTGGCACCTGGGCCGTTATTAGACCCATATGTGTGTGAATTCTGTTTTCTTGGGCAAGTCGCATAAAGAAACGTTTTTGAGAATTCAGGTGGTTCTTAAGTGAATCAAATCTGTTTAAAAGCTTAGGGATCTGGAAAGTGGAAGGTACATCCTCGCAGGCCTGTTACCAGATTGAGGAAACACCTCAGCCACGTGGAGTAAATCCTTAGTGAGATTCCGGCAGACATCCATGGTGGCCTGTCTTCGGCAGAGTTCCAGAACTGACTCTGTATCCCCCCGCTGTCTGGGTCTCTCTGGCTCACGCTCGTGCGCATGCACGCACGCACATGCAGTGAAGCAGTCCTCTCAGCCTCCACTGTGGACCATGGAACGACCTTCCCCACACAGGTGGCCAAGAAGCAGGTGATCTGTGGCTAGAGCCCCTGAAGAACCAAATTTTAAATGTTACTGAATTTTAAATACTTTAGACGTCAGTAGCCATGCGTACGGAGGGGCAGCCCGGCCTCCTGGGTCCTCTGTCCAGGTCACCTTGGTTCTCAGACCTCCTGAAAGCCCACCAAGCATCGACCCATTTTGTCAATGAAAAGAACTCTGGTCTCTCTCAGAGTCATTGAGTTTCGTGCAGAAGCTCCAACTGGATGCGGAGAGTGAAATCCCTGGAGAAGCAGGGACACACACACACACACACACACACACCAGAAGTTGCCCAGGAGGGCGTCAGGGCGCTCTCCGCTCCCGCAGCCGGTGCGCGTCCTCCCACACGCCCCTCCCCGCTCAGCACACGGCTGTGTCCCCCGTGCTCCGCCCAGGACAGAGCTCAGCCCCACA